TAGGGGTTTGGGGTTTAGGCTTTAGGGCTTTGACGGGTTTAGGATTCAGAGAGCTTGTTTAAAATATGTGCTGTGTCAAAAACAAGTGGTTGTGCAGTCCCTTGAGGAAGTATGGTGGAAGTGAGCAACTGACGTACGCCCAGGGCTGCGCTTACAGCGAGCCAGATTCAAAAAAGCGGGAGGAAGGTTGCTCATTGCAGCCTGTGGGTACAAGAAGTGCGCAGAAGGCTCCTGCCGTAAGTCATCAAACCTTTCGAAGCTCACTGCCTTTGGCTCAGAATGCAGCTGAAATCCCTAAACCCTGAACCTCAAACCCGGCTTGTCTCACCTCAACGACCTACGAAGCACGTCCAAGCGTGAGAGCCGAACCCCAAACTGGAATTAAACCTTGATGCATTAAATCCCAAAAGATTGATCCCAGAACCCGAGTTCAACCTTAAAGCCCTAAACCCCAAACCACTCAAACTCATTCCAGGCCTGCCTTTTGTCCCTACTCTACTTTGTTGCAACTTCTTGTTTTAAGTTTATAAGCCCTAGGTATAGAATGGTAGTTCAAGGTATTCCTTCATGGCAGCCTTGCCCGTCCCGAGCTGGCTGGGAGTAGATTCTATCTACGGGTTCCCGCAGCTAGCATGCTTCGACACCTGGCATCTGGAATGCCAAGTTTGAACCCTTACAGGCCGAAATCATTGTAACCTTTCGTTCCCCTAAGACTGTTTAAGGATAATATGGACCCTATAACCAATAATATAGTTTCCTTACCATGATCACTTAAGCTAAATCCTACTCACGAGCCCGGAAGAAAGTCTCACTTCCAGGGACCAAGTGAAAACGAGTCCGAGTGTTAGCGGCGAAGCTCTAAACTTCCTAAACCCAACATGTTCTTCGGGTGTCAGGGACGAGGGCTTCAGGGTTTTGAGGTTTTAAGGTTTAGCGTTTCAGGTTTTTAGGGAGTCAAGGTTTATGGCTTTGGGGTGTTAGGGTTCAGATTCGTGCAGGAAAAAGACTTCGAAGGAAGATACAGCAGCGAATGATGGAGGCGCCGTGGACTGCAACTGTGCAGAGATGCCGAAATTTCCACAGCAAGGGGGCCACGGGAGCAATTGTCAGTTGGGGGTAGGACTAAAACCTAAACCCTAAGTCCTCAGCCCTAAACCCAAAGTCCAGAACCCTAAACCCTCAACCCTAAACCCAAAAACCCTAAACCCCTGAACCCCTAAACCCTAAGCCCCTAAACCCTAAACGTTCGACGTAGGGCAATAGGAATCCTTAGAGCACAGAGGGCCTTTGTGTTTGGACTGTGGGCTTCTACCCCTCAGGGCCCATGTACCTAAATAGTACAAGGTTTAGGGTTTAAGGTTTAGGGTTAAGTGTTTAGAGTTTAGGGTTTAAGGTTTAGGTTTAGTGTTTAGGGTTTAGGGTTGACGGTTTAGAGCTATGGGCAGTTTTCTAGATTCGGGCGCCTTACTATTTTTGAGACCTTCAGCAAGATCCTAATCTAGAGAACTACGCACATACGTTGACCCCAAAGTATCTATAGAGGACCTAATTTGAGACCGAAGTACCCTAAACCCTAAACCCTAAACCCTAACACTTGAACCCGTAGTGTACTGAGGCACCAAGAAGGCTGACACACTGCTGCTCGAGCAGGCGATGGAGTTCCGGGACTTCAGGGTTTAGGGTTTAGGATTTAGGGTTTAGGGGTTTAGGGGTTTAGGGTTTAGGGTTTAGGGGTTTAGGGTTTAGGGGTTTAGGGATTAGGGTTTAGGGTTTTGACTTAGTGGCTGAGGAGTTAACCTTTAACCGTTTGGGGTTGATATAACCCCACCATAATTGAAAAGGTTAACCTTTTTTTGGGCTAGGGTACTCAGCCTTTAAGTTGAAGATCTGTTGGCTTATGCCTTTAGGGGGAAACGGGTTTGAGGATCTAGGGCTGCATGGGCTGCAAGGTTTAGTGGTTTAGGGCAGGGTGCCTGTTTTCTTGTACAAGCAAAGCTGTTTTTTTTGATAATTTTGGAGTTTTGAATGAGCAGGATCTTATCACCCATTTTCGGAAACTCCCAGAAATGCCCCTGTCCGTGCCTGAACCGTGGCATCGCAAGTAGTTACGACCCGACTGTACTCACCTTAGCACCATCTGCATCCTTCTTCAAGCCCTCGAGATCCAGCAGAAAGCGTGAAAGCCTAAACCTCACATCGCCCATTTTTGAACAAGAGCTCCTGAGACTGTGCTAAAGCTATCAAGGAGGTATCTAGTTTTGAGAGAGGTCAGTTGCAAGAAGGCCTGAGGTTCTTCAAGACATGCAAGTTCAGGCCATGTGCTATCTTGCAAATTGCTAGAGCCTTAACCCCTGTCTTTTCGTCCTTACCACTGGCGAGGAGGCCAAACCCGAAGTGTTTTTGGAAGCTGAGGCAGGTAAGTTTAACCTTTCTGGTTTCGGGTTTGGGGTCAGTTTTTGGTTGAGGCACTCGGCAATTGGGATGTAAGGGCCATATTACCTGCTGGCGTACCGTCGTTGGCAGCAGGGCCACAAGAACCAGCACCAAAAAGATTCCCAACACTTACACCCTGACCAGGGACCAAAACTGAACCCTTTAGTTCCCATACTTGAGCTCTGTGGTCATGGTTTAATTTAAGGGCCATCGACTGCTTGCAGGATTCCGCAGACCAGAACCCTTGAAAAAGACCCTTATCGTAAGCCACATACGGTCAGGAAGGATCATTAGGTGTTTAGGGTGAAACGCTAAACCTTAGACTTCTAGCATCCGTTAGAGGTATCAGTGTGCAGAAACGTGACCACGCCATGTCCAGGCAGCTCCCAAGCCGGAGGAAGTGGCTCCGGATGACCAGCCCAAAGCATCCGACAGGCCCCTGCCAGATTCAGATAGCCGTCTCCTCAAGAATTCGAAATGGGAGGAGGGTTCGTAAAATGAGGGAGAGCTCATTTTGGGGTCCTGGCACGAAGGCTCCTACCATTTCTACCTTAGCCTCGAACTACCCTAGTCCATGTTTTGTAGGTTGTGATGAAAAGCCCCATATAGAATTTACCCTGCACAACAGTAGCTTTTCGGAGTTCGTGGTACGAGGGCCCCTCATTGTCTGAGATTCCCAACTAATATACGTCACGCCTTCGGCTACTATGTTCCTCGGTGAGATCCCCGGCCCTGCAAGGAAAAAAGGTTCCAGTACCAGTACTTGTGTATGTGTGCAGTACTGTCGTATGTGTGTGTGTGTGTGTGTTTGTACGTATATGGTACACACATACATACATACATACATACATACATACATACATACATACATACATTCATATATATATATATATATGTACATACATGCATACATATATACATACACACACATACATACATACATACATACATACATACATACATACATACATACACACATACACACATACATACCTACATACATACATACATACATACGTACATACATACGTACATACATACATACATACATACATACATACATACATACACAGATGCAGAAATACAAAGATACAGATACATAGATAGATAGGTAGTTAGGTAGACAGGTAGATAGATAGGTAGATAGATAGACAAATAAATAGGTGGATACATAGATACATAAATAGGTAGGTACATAGGTAGATAGATAGGTAGATAGGTAGATAGATGGATAGGTTAGTATTATGCACACGTACTTGTGCAGCATGTCGCGTACCGTACTTATAAGTGTGTTGTATGTGTACACATATATAAATATGTGCAAATGTCACGTACTAAATACTATGTATCTATACACTCATCCACGTTCTGACTATGTGCGTGCAGGTCGATTCATGCATGATCCCCAGGAGTTAAGGAATACTTTCGAATCACAGCTGGGTGTCTATGAAGTACAAGAGTCGGTCGATGTCGGTCGTAGTGGTTTACCCTCCCGGCATGTGGATGTGTACTGGGTACATCACACATCATCACCTTTTTAGTCGTGCCACGCACAGGCCTGCATGACAGCATGAACTGTGAAGCTGTTTTGTGCTCGCAGAACTCTTCACACTTCTCTCCACGTCGCCAGTTCCCTTACCGCGAAGCTTGCCTGTGCGCTAGCCGACCAAACGGCCCCAAGCCGAATCATGAGGATCCTCAGAGACACTACAGGTGCCTACCCCAGCAACCTGCCCCCTATAACTCTATACACATGTGATTTTCGAGATCGCCATGATTATTATTGTTAGTCATGGCCTTGACAGAAGTAAATACAAACAAAATACTCATGTCAAGCAGCGACTGTGGTTATGGCAAATGCTTTTACGTTTATGAGAAAGAGACGATGATTGCGATTCTGCTCACCACCTATGATGATGATGAATATACTTTATAGCCATATGGGTTTAACGCGACCATAGACCTAAAACTCTAAGCTCTTAAACCCTAAACCCTAAACCATAAACCCCAAGCCCTACAACGGTACATGAGCAGTCTCGGCCTCGGCTAGGCCGACGAAGAAAGCGCCAAAGAGGCGAAAATTACCTGCAACAGCTTGTTGTTTTTTTTAATGGTTTGGGGGGTGTAGGGTTTAGGGTTTAGGGCTTGGGCTCTGCACCACCGCCCTGACTGCTGTTTTGGGGGGTTTCGGCGTTAGGGATTTGGGTTTAGGAGTTTTGTCTTCAAATGCTTGTTTGGGCTGTGTGTCGTCCAACTGCACCGCTTGAGACCAGACGCAGGACGGGTGGCCATCTCGGTGTGGCCAGGTTCACCGTGTTACGAGCAAGGTTTTCGTTGGTAGAAGCATGCGGTCACAGGGTGTATACTAAGAGTAGTAATAACAGCAACAGTGATGACAGTAATGACAAGGAAAGAACAAAAGAATTGGGAAGACTACTAAGTAAGGACAGTGATATATAGGTTTGGAAAGCTGCGAGACTCCTGGCGTTATCAGCAGCATTTGGCTCCAGTTTTACTTACTGAGTTCAGTCAGAACCTGATTTTTCTGACACTCCACCCCATTTGCCATGGAAGACTCGGGCATGGAAGGGTGTCGCCTTCGCCTACGCAATACTTTTCTCGAGGTGACCTCAGAGGAGGACTTACAGACTTCGTGGAGCAGGTTTGCTTCTTGGCCTTGTGCCGAGAGTCATGCACCAGAACAACGAGGAGAGTCGATGATGCGCTTCGACGATGGGCCGCAGGTCCCGCAGTCCCCGTCTTCGTCCACCGTGGAGACGGATTTCACAGAGTCGACTACCCATTCGAGTTCAGGTGAATGCAACCCGTGCCTCTTCTTTGCGAGCTCCGCAGGGTGCAAACATGAGAGTTGCTCGTTTTGCCACATCCATCCTGCAAGAAAGGATGGTCCAACAAGACGTGCACGCAAGCAAACTCGCGACAAATACAAGAGCCAGGTCATGCAGTTGTTGGCGGGCAATCAAGAGGACATGCAGGCGCAGCAGGTGAAGCTTCAGAAGCTTGCCAACGGCAATTGGTTTGTCCGCGCATACATTCTGGCCTGCCTGAATGGCCACGAAAATGTTGTCGACGGGGGCATCAACCGAATTCCTGAGGAAGATCGACGTAAAGTTCTTCAACCTGGGCCCGTCCAACGCACAGAGTGAGTGCAATCTTGCACGCTGTCCTGCCTGGTTTGTGTAGGTTTAAGGATTTTAGGGTTTGTGATTGTAGAAGCTAGGTGTTGTAAAGCTTTCGAACATCTGGTGTCGGGGGTGTGCAATAAAGGTTGGCCAGTTTGGTGCTGGAAACTCCCAGAGACAGTGTCAGGAGGTGAGGCGTGATGTTTGGCAAGAAGCCATGATCACCTGCTGCTTGCAGTTATATTGGGCGAACCTAATCTGACCTAAGCCCTGAACCTTAACCCCTAAACCCTAACCCGTTTACTTCGCATCCCGAGCTCGCATGCCTGAATTACTTGGCCTAGAAATCGCAGGCTGTGGGGTGTGGCAGCTGCCGCATTTTTCGAGAGACTTTCTGTTGACCAGGTGGCTCCTTGGGAGAGCTCCGAGTTGTGGTTTCTTTCTATAGTTTAGGGTTTAGGGGTTCACCGAGCTTAGAGGAATAGGGTATACCTGGACCCTATAAACATTCTCCATGTTTAGGGTTCTTTGTTATGACTCATTTTCTATTCCTGAGGCCTTAAAAAGTATATAGCGCTCTTCAGGGTCCAGGTGGGGTTTAGGGTTAGGGTGTTTTTAGAGAGGGCCAAGCCGTGGGACTCAGAGGCGTCATCGGCGTCTTTCTGTCGGAATTACGAGCTGCTTGGTCTCAGCAACGAATTTAACCAGTCAACCATTTGGCCAGAACATTGCCATGGTTGATTCATATAAGGGGCGCCCATGTGTGGGAACGACGGATGGCTCTTCGCGAGCTTTTCAACAGAATTTACGGCTTATAGGGTCAAGCCCGATTTGCGCGGCACCCTCCATGTGCAGGGGAGTGCGTAGGCAAAGATGAGGCCTACCGCGAGCCTTTCGCAGGCTTAGAGCCCGAAGCGCAAGAAGACTCACTGTAGAGCGCCAGACGCAGTGTAGAGAGTAGAGAGAGGATCAGCAAAGAAGGCAGTGGTGAAGTATATCCATGAGTCTCCTTATGGGATCGAGGGCTTCTCTGGGGATTGAGCGCTTTGCTTCAAAGCTTCCGAGGCCCGTGGCGGACACAGGAAGTGCCCTTTACCAGCGCGTGCCTTCCCAAAAGGGCCCTCTATAGGTACTGTTATGGGGCATGCTTCCCTAAATCACCATAGGAATTCCGCATATTATAGACTACATTCTACTATGTAGGTGCCTGGGAACCTGTGGGCTTCAACCACGCTCTGGAATTTCCAAGGCAGCTTACTTGCCTGGGAAGTCTTGTGCAAACTAATCACCGGATAGTCTCACGGTGTCTGCACCCGCAAAGGCTCCATGTACCCATATAGCAGATACTTAGGCCTTAAAGGGGTTCCTATATATAATATAGGTACTTTCAGGCCTATGCTATATACTAAACAGGTACATGGAGCCTTGGGGACCCAGACTCTTGCTCCAGATCCGCTCCATCGCCAGGTATCTGTGGGCAGTTAACTTTGGGGGACTAGTGGTTTCAGAACCTGCCTGGGTCTATAGCTTGTTGCCTGTTGTATCAATTTCGCTAGCATAGGCTTATATATATATATATATATA